GGGAAAATTTCCCTCGAGTTGCAACCAACTCGAGTTGCAACCAGAGTCACAGAACGAATTAAGTTCGTAACTAGAGGTACCACTGTACATACAAGCATTTTTGTTTGGAACTTTTTAATTTTGCCATTTTTTTCTTTTAAGTACTTAAAATCTTGTACTGATATTAAGCCTGACTGAATGATGAATAGGATAGAAACGTTCATGTAAATAAATGAATTTTATCAGTAGTTGTAATTTTTCTGTTGAACTTCCAAGAACTTTGTGCTGTCTCCATCTTTTCATTATTCCCTTGTTTGTATAACCTTGGTTGCTTAGTTTTACCCTTAGTGAATAAAATTATTTATTTATTTATCATGTTTATACCCCACCACAATTTTATACAAAGTCTTGGTAGCTTACAGCATAAAAGCACAATGAAAAGAAACCAGGACAAGAATGGGTGGTAATTCAGGCTTGTGGCAGTAGAGAGCAAAATGAAAAGGAAGATTATTGTTCAAAGAAAAATAAGTGGGTGACAAAAATGGAAACTATGTTTTGATTTATAGGTAGGATGTTACGGTTTTGTTATATTGTACGTTGTGGGCCTGATTGCGAACTGTGTAGTGAAGACACAGTAGAGGGAAGGAAATCAGGACTAGGCTGGAGGCAAGGAAAAGAAATAAAATATTATTAGCCCTAAAGTAGAGAGACCAAGCAAAATAAGAAATGAGTGGTGACTGCATAAGAATTATAGGGAGATGTGAGAAACTGAAATTATCTTATTTGAAAGAGAGGTATAGGTGAGAGACAAAACAGTGAAATATATGAGTGAGAGAAAAGGGATTATATTAATATATGTGTGTTTCTTTAGGGAGGTGAATCCTCCTAGCTCTTGGCAAGTGTGTTAAAACCTGAATCACTTTGAAGTGAGTGATTATATTAGGATTGTATTGTCATTTATCCAGGGAAAAAGACAAAGTAATTAAAAATTATTAGGGTAGAGGAAGGTTAGAAGTTTGGGCAGGGCCATATTTCATGTCTCCCTAAGCAGAACAATTTGGTACCCCTTTGCAAGGATTACTTTTGTAAGAGACTAGACAACCTGTGACCCATTGGGTCATCGTTTCAGAGATATTTCCTTATCTAAACAGAGAAACAGAATGACCAAGGGCAAAAAAGCAGTGGGAGTGACTTAGAACTTGCTGCCAGCTTCCCCATTGACTTCGCTTGTGGGAAGCTGTCAGGGAGCATCAGAAATCTCCTCCCTTCCTCCCTCTCCACATATAATATAGGCTTGGGCTGTTTGACTCTCCCCACACGATCCTCAGGAGAGCCGTGGTAAAGCTTCCTCCTCCTCCTTGGTTGATCCACAGAACTGCCTGCCGCTTTGCTGGGGGGAAGTGGAACAAAGGGAGCCACAGACCATGAGGAAAACAGCACCCCTGCTCCCTGTTCCAGCGTGTCCTTGAGGGTCCTCTCTCTCAAGGGAGGAAGAGGGTTCACCCGTCAACCACCGGTGCCCCCCAGCCAGCCCTACCTTGCCAGTAGGCATCCAGGTCACTCCCTCATCCTTTCCTCAATGCCCTCTGCCGTTAAGAGATTTCAGATTTCTGCCTTGTTTCCAAAGCAGCCAATCACCACTTACCCGTCAGGCCCTGCTGCCAGCTGATTGGGCGCAGGGGACAGAGGGAAGCGGGAAAGAGATCAGGGATACACCTATGATGATCACATGACCTGGGCTGAGCATGGCAATGCAGCAATGCAGCAGTGCTGAAGTGGCCACAAATTTCCCAAATTTCAATCCCATTGGAGTAATGGGTCCCAGATTTTGGGTGCATTCTGTAAGTTAGCCCATTTGAGGTACCTTGTTTCAAAAATTTTTGCCCTATGATGTACCGTTTCGCCCAGTTGAAAGTTACAGGCACAAGAGTAACTATATAGACTAGTAATTATATAGAGTAGTATATAGGTAATAGAAAATAGCTGCAATCTATAATGCCATATATTATAAAATGCAATTTTGAAGCTTTAAACCTAGTGCACCTGTGTGTGTGTGTGTGTGTGTGTGTGTGTGTGAGAGAGAGAGAGATAAACCATTAAGCTCTTTCCTGAAGGTACACTCTTTGCTCTGACTTTTTGAATGGCTTTGCTATGGAAGGATGGCAAAAAATACTGCTTGTGAACTATTTTTATGTCATTGAATTGATGTGTCAGGGTCAGTTCCTTGCCAGTTCAGAGTAGAACTTGCCCTGGAAAAGTAATCCAGAATTGGAAGACACACATGTTTTCTCTGTAGATCAGTGGTTGGTTTACTTCTAAGCTAGTTTATCAGAGATACTGTAAGTTTATGCTGCTTGTGTCATAGAACACATAAGCCATGCTATGAACAGTTTTCCGTAAGTTTCTTGTATGTGTTACCCTGTGGTACGGCTGAATTAACATTCAGTATTAGTATCCAGATTGTTGTTTTATGGCAGTAGCATCTGCAGAGGGAACAAGAGAGAGCAGAATGATGGAAGTAACTTCATAACACAAACAGTGACCCTTTTATGCATGCATTATGATGTCACAAGCATGTACAAAGGGACAAAGTTTGTGGTGTAATGTTGCAATGCTGCTTTCATTTTTCTGATGTAACAGCAAGCTACTACGTGGGGGATGTTTGAACAGCATGAAAAATCCTAAACTTTGCCCCTTTTTTCCTCTGAGTTATCTTTTGGAAGTCTTGTGTATAATATCTGAAAATGACTATGTTCTGTAGAATAGCTTTTTAATGCAGCTGCAAATATTGTGGAACAACACTGTAACACAAAGCATTAAGGTTTTTTTTCTTCCTAGCATTTTTCCCACATGTGCAGGGTCCACTTTTTTCAGATCAACCGAATGTTGATCTATTGGTTGCGACAGGTATTGACTGACCGGCTTGTCGCCCGAGCCTGATGTTTGGGGCTGAGAGAGAGAGTGCTGGCCCAAAGTCACCCAGCTGGCTTTCATGCCGAAGGCGAGACTAGAATTCAGTATCTCCTGGTTTCTAGCCTGGAGCCTTAACCACTAGACCAAACTGGCTCTCTCAGATACAAAACACTAAGTATCATCTGTGAAATGCATAGTCTGAAGGGTTGAAGTGGTTTTGTATTAGTGGCTTCCCATCCACCCAGTTTAGGCTGGAGCTATTTTAAATTAATGAATAATGTGACATCGTGGGTAAACAGAAATTCTAAATAAAACCCTAGTTTCTCCACTAGCAGCTCCTTGTGGTAGGAATTTGCAGATGCTGGGACATGCATGAGGTGAAAGATACTAGGTGGCAAAATGGCACGAGAGCTTCTAGCTCACCAGTATGTCTCCTTCTTGAAATAGAATGGAAGGAGAACATGAACTAGACAGCTTACCAGAATGTAACAAACACGACTTATTCATCAAGAAGTGAAAAGGGAAGAGTGAAACAAAACTATGATCAAATGAGTAAACAATTTAGAATCAGACTAAATATAGTATATGATGAAATACAAATTGGTAATTATTTACCTGGACTAGTCTCTACAGTTTCCTTGGCAAGGTTTCAGAAGTGGTTTGCCATTGCCTGCTTGCTAGGGCTGAGGGAGAGTGACTGGCCCAAAGTCGCCCAGCTGGCTTTGTGCCCAAGCCGGGACAAGATATAAGGCTTTATTGTTTCTGGGGTAAATTGGATAAAATTGTGGTAAACATTTAGAAAACGTATCTGAAGAAGAGGAGTGTAAAAATATTTTACATTATATATTCTAACCCTGCAGTCAGCAAATAAGATTCCTCTTTTGGAAGAAATAGAAGTTCTGTTCATGAATTAAAATAAGCTAGTTGTTTAAAGCTGTGAGGTTTGTAGTTTCAAGTCAGTTTCAGGATGGAAAGAGTGGATTAAATACAGGCAGTGTAAGTGGTATTGGTAAGAGATTACACCCAATCTGTAAGGAACAAAAGAAAGGAGTGCCCCTGCTCTGAAAACACAAATGTCCCTCACCGGTGGCAGCACATACAGGGGCTGTGTCTAGGCAAAGCAATAACACAGGAATATAACAGTATTTATTGAAAGGAAACCAAAAAGTATTTCTGATCTTTGCACACAAGGTTGAAGTTGGTAAAGACCAACTGTGCATTCAGGGGTTGGAGGGGTTTATATGTTTAAAATCTGTTGACCCTGTTTAAAATTGTTTAAGTCTTCCTATTTTTATACACTTTTTAAAAAGATAAAACTATCAGAATTATACCCAATATACTTAGTACATCTTTATCATTCATTAATAGTAGGGTGGTTTTGAAGAGAGCTGCCAGAGCTTTCCAGTCTGGGATTTTAATTTGACACTATCTACTAATCTGTGTAAACCGGCATAATTAATCTCAGGAATTCATTATTTCAAAAGTATTATTTAATGTTTATTGTGCTATCAGATATACAAATTGCTATGTTTGCATCACTTACTTGTAATTCATATGACAACCTTATAAGATAAATTAGTAGTATTTATATAAATGAATAGTATCCTTTTAGTGTAGATAGGTGGAAGAGGGATGAGGAGAAAGCGGCTTGCAGAAATGAGAGCTGAATCAGGAATTCCCTGTTTTATAACTGTTTCAGTGACAGACACTGAACGTCCTTGAAGTTAGGAATCATAACTGTCCATTATTGAAAAATCCCCAGATTCATGGAAGAGGTTGTAATATCTGCTTTTTTGGCTTTTGTTTCTTTTTTGCAAGCTAATTTTTTTTGCCCACCAGTGAGTTTCACACACCAATAGATTATGACTGTCTTGTGCTCCCTGCCCCAGATGTGTTAGGATTAGGGTAACTGGTCAGTGGTTGTCAGTTACCTCTGCAAATTTATGTACCCATAATGTAAGCACAACAAGGATATTGTGCAGATAAATTTTATGTCTATGGTGGGCAAAAACTTTTCAGACATGAGTTTTTAACACTAGTGAAGAAAAAAAAAGGAGCAAGAACTGCTTTTTCTTCCTTTCTTCTTCTCCCTTTGTTTTGTTTGTAAATTTCCTGGAGCAACTGATCACTCAGTGTTGGAAAAGGAATAGTGAACTTATATTTTGTTCAGTTAACAAGAGAGTTGATTTATGTATATTGTAATTTAACTATCCACTTTCAAACCCCGGCAGGGGATGGTGCCTTTGCCCTTATTGGCTTACAGAGCAGTGGTTGGGGGTACAAATCAGTAGCACCCTGATATACAGCAGTGCAGTGTTGTCCTGCTTCTCTGAACTGAGAATATTTTGTTCCAAAGTTTTTATTGTTAGACTAAGTGTTGCTTACACCTGTGGGTGTGTTAGTTAAGACTATTGAAATATGTTGGCTTAAATAATTAAAATAACTAACGAGTGGTCATTGGACCACCTGTATGATGTGAATTCATTTTGTTTTACATAAGACTTAAAAAAATTAAAAAGTTAAAAAATGATAAATGAAAATGAACCTCACATGCCATTTTGAGAACATTTTCAGTATGGTCCAAACAGCATTGGAACATTTAGAAAGGTCAGAACCTACATCAATCTCAAAATATTTTGGACGTCGGCTGTTTTACACATCATTATTTTCAGTAATTTGTTTAAACAAATGTACATAAGTCATGCAGTCTTTCAATCTGGCAGACTTAAAGATGTATGTTATAGTATTGATATTACATTTGTACAGTATTAAATGTGTTAACAGTTAAAGATATTGATTTTTATTAAAATGTTATATGAGTACATTTATATATGCGGATAAATATCTTTAGTTCTGAAAGTCTTTTAACAAAAGTTAAATTTCATTTTTGCATTCACCTCTGATATGTGAGTTAAATGTTTAATCATACATTTATAACATTTCAGCATTACTTTTAAGGAAATGATCCTACATATTTTGTAAATAAGTGCTTTCCTATTGCTAGTTCCTTATTCAGTTGGCTGGAAGTCTACATATAAACCACAAATTATTATCAGAGTTAATCCTTTAAAAGCCATTGACAGATCTAAGAAATCCGAGGAATTTTGAGTTTCTGTCTATTTGCTTTTTTTGTGTAGGCATGTATTTTGAAATACAGTGAGATTATAGATTCAAACATTACCACAGAAACTCTGATGGTAGTGATTGTCTATAAATATAGTAAAATCATTTTGTAAAGATAAGCCTGTGCTGAAATATGTACATCAATTATTTCTTAACATTCTCCACTTAAGCAAATTTCCTGAACCCATAGTGTGTCCTGTTTGGTTGTATTGAGCATTCAAAAGAAATAACCGGTTTTTAGGACTTCAATTTATTATCTTCTGCTGCCCTCTGCAGGTGTGCTGATGTTGATCTTTGGAACAAGGTAAGTAAAGACAGCTAAGCTGCAACAGAGAGATATTTTGGGTACACAGTATTGCAACAATACAATAAATAGAAAGATCTGTAGTTTCAGTTGTAAGACTGGTCTTTTTATTGTTTGGATTACTACACCTAGACAAAGCATTTTAAATTGTCATGACTTATCTAAAGTTAAATATATTTAACTCTTTTTGATCTCAGTGGGGAAAATTAAGCATGTAATTTTCCCTTGTCTATATTGGGTCTTTCAAATGCTTGACTTTTCTTAAAGTATACCCATAATCTGTTGCTCACATTTTGGAAGATAGAATTGTGATTGTAACTTCATATTTACATAGAAATGGCATGTAGGAGCTAACTTCATTATTTATGAGAGAGGATATGATTTTCTTGGAGGGGCAGCAGCTTTTGCCTTTATAAGAGAGGTCCCAAGTACCAGTTGGAAACATTTTAATGTATAAAAGCCCAACAAGTTTTGGAAAATTCCTTTACCGAGGGCACTACAAAACAAAAAACCATGTAAAGAGCTTACAATCTTATCCTTGTAAAAATGCCTATACCATCAACATTCTTCCATAGACCAAAAACACCATTAACAGTTAAAGCAATTGCTAATAAGTGTGCTAGCAGCTTCTCCTTGAAAATTTTTAGCTGCAAACAAAGATAAGACATATTTTTAAAAATAAATTAATATTCCATAGCTTAATTTTTAATAATTAGGAAATAACAAAAATGTTAAGATATTTTTGAAGGACCTTTTCAATATACATAGTCCTCAGTTAACATCTGCAGTTGGGACTGGAATTTCCATCACTAAGCAACATGGTCGTAAAGTGCAACGTCATGTGACCATATTGCTTAGTAATGGAAATTCTGGCACTTCTGGTTGCCATTGTTAATGTTATAGTATTGATATTACATTTGTAC